TGCTCCTCTCTCGCCAGGGCCTTAATCCTAGCCCATGGCCCTTTGCCCCCGAGCATGTCCTCCCAGGACCACGATTTGCCCACCTGGGCCATCGCCAACCTCTCCATCTCCTTTCCCGGCACTTCCTCCCATGTCCAGTCTGCCTGCTCCTGGACACGCTGCTTGGTCCTTGTATGGTGGGTTCTTCTGTCACGATCGTCGTTAAGAGAGGAGGACCAAGGCGCAGCGTGATGAACGAACATGTTTATTTATCATTAGCGATAAACACGGACAGTAAACAAAAACAACAAACGACTCGTAACGTCCTAGGTAACATAGACCAACACGGAACAAGAACCCACAAACACAAAGGGAAAAACAGACAGTTTAAATATGGCTCCCAATCAGAGACAACCAGCCACAGCTGACACTCGTTGCCTCTGATTGGGAGTCACTCAGGCCAACATAGAAATAAACAAACTAGAAAGAACACACCCTGGCTCAACATATAGAGTCCCAGAGCCAGGGTGTTACAGTCGTTGTAAACTTTCATTCATAGGCTAGGTTGTAACAACTTCATGATGGGTATAGGACAAATTCGACTATCACGTAGGAGCCTAAACCTATCGATGTTACATTGAACTGGGTGAATGGAATATGAATGACAGTCATCCAATATGCTGTAATAAAAATAAGGCCATGATCATTAAAAAAAAAAAATTGTCCTCCCTCATCATAAACAGCACTGACCGCGACTGATATGGGTATAATGTGTATATTTAAGTTGTGTATACAGGGCACATTTGTAAAAGAGACCTAGGTCTCAATATGTCTTCCCTGTTAAAATAAAGGTTAAATACAATAAATAAACGCATGTCAAGGACAAACTTACCTAAAACCCATCCCAAACCATAATCTTTAGGAGGCAAACACAAAACTGACTTTGGACTTGTTGATCATCCTACACCATTGTACACCAACCAGTTTCAGTTGAAGCTGCAGAATTGATAGAAAAGGGAAATGCCTGGCAGTTGTACGAAGCTAGTCTGACATTCCAGATATACAGTCGTGGTCAAAAGTTTTGAGAATGACACAAGTATTGGTCTTCACAAAGTTCGCTGCTTCAGTGTTATGAGATATTTTTGTCAGATGTTACTATGGTATACTGAAATATAATTACAAGTATTCCATAAGTGTCAAAGGCTTTTATTGACAATTACATTAAGTTGATGCAAAGAGTCAATATTTGCAGTGTTGACCCTTCTTTTTTCAAGACCTCTGCAATCTGCCCTGGCATGCTGTCAATTAACTTCTGGGCCACATCCTGACTGATGGCAGCCGATTCTTGCATAATCAATGCTTGGAGTTTGTCAGAATTTGTGGGTTTTTGTTTGTCCACCCGCCTCTTGAGGATCGACCACAAGTTCTCAATGGGATTAAGGTCTGGGGAGTTTCCTGGCCATGGACCCAAAATGTCAATGTTTGTTCCCAAGCCACTTAGTTATCACTTTTCCTTATGGCAAGGTGCTCCATCATGCTGGAAAAGGCATTGGTCGTCACCAAACGTTCTTGGATGGTTGGGAGAAGTTGCTCTCTGAGGATGTGTTGGTACCATTCTTTATTCATGGCTGTGGTTCTAGGCAAAATTGTGAGTGAGCCCACTCCCTTGGCTGAGAAGCAACCCCACACATGAATGGTCTCAGGATGCTTTACTGTTGGCATGACACAGGACTGATGGTAGCGCTCACCTTGTCTTCTCCGGACAAGGTGTTTTCCGGATGCCCCAAACAATCAGAAAGGGGATTCATCAGAGAAAATGACTTTACCCCAGTCCTCAGCAGTCCAATCCCTGTACCTTTTGCAGAATATCAGTCTGTCCCTGATGTTTTTCCTGGAGAGAAGTGGCTTCTTTGCTGCCCTTCTTGACACCAGGCCATCCTCCAAAAGTATTTGCCTCATTGTGTGTGCAGATGCACTCACACCTGCCTGCTGCCATTCCTGAGCAAGCTCTGCACTGGTGGTGCCCCAATCCCGCAGATGAATCAACTTTAGGAGACGGTCCTGGCGCTTGCTGGACTTTCTTGAGTGCCCTGACGCCTTCTTCACAACAATTGAACCTCTCTCCTTGAAGTTCTTGATGATCCGATAAATGGTTGATTTAGGTGCAATCTTACTAGCAGCAATATCCTTGCCTGTGAAGCCCTTTTTGTGCAAAGCAATGATGACGGCACGTGTTTCCTTGCAGGTAACCATGGTTAACAGAGGAATAACAATGATTTCAAGCAACACCCTCCTTTTAAAGCTTCCAGTCTGTTATTCTAACTCAATCAGAATGACAGAGTGATCTCCAGCCTTGTCCTCGTCAACACTCTCACCTGTGTTAACGAGAGAATCACTGACATGATGGCAGCTGGTCCTTTTGTGGCAGGGCTGAAATGCAGTGGAAATGTTTTTTGGGGATTAAGTTCATTTTCATGGCAAAGAGGGACTTTGCAATTAATTGCAATTCATCTGATCACTCTTCATGACATTCTGGAGTATATGCAAATTGCCATCATCAAAACTGAGGCAGCAGACTTTGTGAAAGTTAGTATTTGTGTCATTCTCAAAACTTTTGACCACGACTGTACTATAGATGGCTGTGACTGCTAGTATCAGTCTTGGATATGGTGCATCAGGGATGGGGAAAGATCCAAGTTTGGCAAAGACAGCAAACGATTTCAGAAAGCCAGCGGACAGTGAGTCAGTAGTCTGAGTGCTGCAGTCACTCTCTCTGTCTCCCTCTCTCTCTGTCTCCCTCTCTCTCTGTCTGCCTCTCTCTCTGTCTCCCTCTCTCTCTGTCTCCCTCTCTCTCTGTCTGCCTCTCTCTCTGTCTGCCTCTCTCTCTCTCTCTCTCTGTCTCCCTCTCTCTCTGTCTGCCTCTCTCTCTGTCTGCCTCTCTCTCTGTCTGCCTCTCTCTCTCTCTCTCTCTTCTGTCTCCCTCTCTCTCTGTCTCCCTCTCTCTCTGTCTCCCTCTCTCTCTGTCTGCCTCTCTCTCTGTCTGCCTCTCTCTGTCTGCCTCTCTCTCTCTCTCTCTCTCTCTCTCTCTCTCTCTGTCTGCCTCTCTCTCTGTCTCCCTCTCTCTCAATTGTGTAGAACATTCCAGAGCAATTTGCCATCAACCAAGCAGACCATGTGATTGTCTTTCATCAAAGATTGATATACAGTAGGTGTGTTAGGTCAATAAGAAATGGTTCTATTTACAGAACAATGATATTCCAGCAACTTTGAGCTTCTATGCATGAGTAATAATAATGTAATATGCAGTTCTTCAGTCACCCTAGCGACAAAGATAAAAGACAATCAGGACATACACTGTAACAATTACTGTGACTATTGACTTTTCACTGCATCTTGTCGAATGTCTATTGTGTCTTCAGCTCTCATCCGGTTGTGGTTTTAGTTTTAGGTGTGTGAGTTTAAAGAGGTATTTGAATGTAAATTGTATGACTAATATGATTAGGTTGAGAATTTTTGATTAACATATCCCACTTACACAAACACAATCACCAAGATGTGTTTAACGATCTGACTCATTCATACAGAAAGATAAATAATGCCTTGTTCTAGTCCTTATGGCTGAAGGTTGCTGTGTGTCCTGTGTCCACAGCAGTGGAGGCTGCTGAGGGGAGGACGGCTCATAATAATGTCTGGAATGGAGAGAATGGAATGGCATCAACACCTGGAAACCATGTGTTTGATGTATTTGATACCATTCCACTAATTCCGCTCCACGAGCCCATCCTCCCCAATTAATGTGCCACCAACCTTGGGCTCCCGAGTGGCGCAGCGGTCTAAGGCACTGCATCTCAGTGCTTGAGGCGTCACTACAGACCCCCTGGTTCGATTCCAGGCTGTATCACAACCGGCCGTGATTGGGAGTCCCATAGGGCAGCGCACAATTGGCCCAGCGTCGTCCGGGTTTGGCTGGTGTAGGCCATCATTGTAAATAAGAATTTGTTCTTAACTGACTTGCCTAGTTAAATAAAGGTTAAATTAAAAAAATTAAAAAATCTAAACATGTTATTGGTATTGACCATAACATGAAATTCAGAGGAAATGTTCACAGTACTGTATAAAATCTGTGCAGAAATAAATGTTCATTTCTGATATAAAGGTCAAAGTTGTTGGTGTGGTTTATTGTCAAGTTACAACACAGAAGCAGCAGTGCATTTCTAAAAGCATTGTGACCTCCGTAAAACAAGTTCTATTTGGCTGACCATTCAAACTGTAAGTGCATGTTTGGCGCCATCTGGTGAAGTCTGAAATCTGGCAGCACTAATACAGACCAAAGGGCTCTGGTCAAAAGTAGTGCACTATATAGGGAATAGGCTGCCATTTGGGATGCATCCTTAGATAATTACATGGGTTTCCAAAGCACACATTTGTAGCTCTTTTTCATTCAGTTGTCATTCCCAGCCACCAATAACCTGCAGATGTTTAGGACATCCAGTATCCACTGAGTTTCTTAATTGATGCTGAGTAATTATTGCCCATCTCAGTTTTTACATTAAAAGAAGGGTGTGTTTCTTTTTCCATTGAAAAGTGTGAGTGAGGTTTGTGAAGCTGGGGTGTGTCAAAGGATGTGTCACAATGCATTGTAGGGTGGTACCTGGCTGTGAGGAATGTGTTACAGGTCAGTACATAAACAGGTGCAGAACCCACAACTTTCCCAGACCTGCAGTGATCGCAGCAACAATGTTTCATTTGTTCTCCCTCATCATGTCAGAACACAACATACAGTACTACAGAATGTGCTATGAGTATTGTAGAGCTGGCTGTATGGATAGCATTTGTTACAACAATCTCATTGGCACAAATCCCTTACTATTTTTTCTATCTAAAATATCTTCTCCCATAGTATTGTATGTAATAGAACTAACAGCAGCCAGTATAACACCAGCAAATACAGGAAAAGTCCAAACTATTACATTGGAATGCAGTATTTCCTGTTCTTCACTCCTTCCTTGGCTCGTTCAAAGGTTTGCCTCATTTTCTATGGGTTCCGTGCCACACCTGGGTTTGTGCACGAACAAGCAAAAGTGTAATCAGAGTAGGCGTGACTTCAGCCAATTCCTCCTCTCCTCCACGAGTCTGTGGAAACAGGAATCTACTCTACTCTGCCTGACACAGCTGAAGTTTTCTGAACATAGAAGGTGAATATCTTTACATTGTCTTCATCATAATTAACATCTTCTGCCTGCTAGAATATTTAGCGTGTGATGCATTGGGATCAGGACTGTTTGTTTGCTACCTTGCCTAGACTTTTAGAAACGTGCATCTGCCTGCAAACTCTCGAGGTTCGAGGTTGAAGGGAAGATTAAAGAGATTTTAAATGAATGTTATTTTGTTTCTGTTGGCAAAGCTACTCTCAAAGCTACTCTCAAAGCTACTCTTCAGCTGTCATTATCTTTACACTCCAGACTTACTCTGTTTCCACTCATCTAAATGCCACTATACAGGTTTTTTCCCTGTAACTCCCTCAGACCAGCCAAGATGCCAGAGAACGCAGAGGCCGTTTCAGCCACTCTAACCACCAACAGGAACTGTACTATAGAGATCACCAATGTCACCACCGGGTACTGTCTCATCAACCCCAAGTATGTTGGCATTCAATACTCTAATCTCCTTACATTACATACAGTATACCACTATGGAAATTAAATTACATAACTAAATAGCAAACCAGCTGACCATCCCCAGATTGTTATTTGTCTGTTACTTTTCGGTGGAATTTCTCAGAGTAAATATATTTTATGGCAGGCATCTCTTGGATGGGTGGTTTTCATGTGTAAGGTGGCTTTGAACACATCCACCTATCCATCATGAAGTGACACAATGTGGCTCATTGCACATTGCATGCTGGTTCACTCTGTGTTGCTTACGAATCCATAGCAGCACTCACACTCCATCCATCAGCACAGAGTGGCTGGACAGAAAGAAAGGAAGAATGAAATGACTAAAAGTAGAGGGACAGTGATCGTAAAAGTACAAGTTTAAAAGTGTATTTTCACATGACTTTAAGTCCATTTGAAAGGTTTTGCATTTTGAATAAATGACCATCTTCAGCAACATGAATGTTCAGATAATTAATTAGAACCTTAATGACACCCCTTCCCCATTACTACCCCCCAGGGTGTATATGTCCAGTGGCTACTGCTACCATCCACCCCAGCCCACAGTCCGCACCACCAAGACAGAGGTGTGCTCCTTCACCAAGGATGACGACACAGCCACAGGCGCAGTGGGGGTCCTGACCTACGACCTTTTCCACATGCAGAGCCGTGTGTGCTCAGAACGCATGGCCATCATGTTCTCCGTGCCCTATGACTACAACTTCTACAAGAACTGGCTGGGGGTGGGCGTCTTCGAGGTGGCACGCGCCTGCGACAAGCAACTGTACAACCACATGTACAATGAGAAGGACTTCAGCAAGTTTGCCCGATCAGAGGCCCGTGGGTCAGGGGTGGAGTACAAGGCCCAACACGTAGACCTGAGGGCCACCATGTCCAATGTTGGGAAGTCCATCATTAAGGTGGAGCTCTATGATAAAATGGGGCACTAATAAGGGAAAACAAGCCATTTTACCAACTCACAGCAGGGAAAGAGTTTATATTGATACATAACCATGTACTAAATATAATAATGAATGAATCAACCAACTGAGGTGGTTTATGTTATCCAATTAATGAACTTTATCAACTGGAAGATATTGCTGTCTAATTGTTCACAACACTCGATTCAGTGTATTTTTCTGCACCTGTACATGTTTGTTTTATTAAAACATTTAACAATGAATTGGTGTAAGATGTTTTGGTGATAACCTTTAACATGTACTTACACACTATAACAGTTTCATGTATCATTAATAATTACCATTAAGAATAAATGGTTATACATTGTATTCAGTTTCCTAGAACTGTCAGTTTTTAATGAATCATAATGAGACTTTACACTGGCCATAATACAATAATCCCATGTGATTCAGTGACTATTGGCTCAGATTCTATCATTATTCTTTCAGGATTTATATGGTTCTTGGTCTCTTGCCTTGTCCTACGTCCTGTAGAACTGCACCATATAAGACATGACCGTAGCTTTAGAGGAGCATGTATTTACTTGTTCACCCTATTCAGTGCCTCTGTTGCACAATGCCATTGCAACGAATTATCCAATTCCTCCAAGTCAGTCAATCATCCAGTCACACATAATCTATCATGAGAAACTGAGTATACTGCAGAGTGACTACTCCCTGCTTACATAATGAACCTTTATCTACCAGGAACCATCTATTGTTCTGGTCTTCTAGCTCCAACCCAGATTAGGGTGTGGTAGGGACTCGTTCCCCCAGAGCTAGACAAAATAATGTTGGCTATAAGACATTATACTGTACTTTAATATGAGCCCCAATATGTAATGGTGGTAGTGTGTGCCACATGGTACAGTGAGGGAAAAAAAGTATTTGATCCCCTGCTGATTTTGTACGTTTGCAAAACAATTGGTAACACACTACGCCGTGAAGGACTGAAATCCTGCAGCGCCCGCAAGGGCATTGAAAATGGGTAGTGGATGGCTATTCCAGCATGACAATGACCCAAAACAAACGGCCAAGGGAACAAAGGAGTGGCTCAAGAAGAAGCTCATTAAGGTCCTGGAGTGGCCTAGCCAGTCTCCAGACCTTAATCCCATAGAAATTCTGTGGAGGGAGCTGAAGGTTCGAGTTGCCAAACGTCAGCCTCGAAACCTTAATGACTTGGAGAAGATCTGGAAAGAGGAGTGGAACAGAAAATCTCCTGAGATGCGTGCAAACCTGGTGGCCAACTACAAGAAACGTCTGACCTCTGTGATTGCCAACAAGGGTTTTGCCACCAAGTACTAAGTCATGTTTTGCTGAGGGGTCAAATACTTATTTCCCTCATTAAAATGCAAATCAATTTATAACATTTTTGACATGCGTTTTTCTGGATTTATTTGTTGTTATTCTGTCTCTCACTGTTCAAATAAACCTACCATTACAATTATAGACTGATCATGTCTTTGTCAGTGGGCAAACGTACAAAATCAGCAGGGGATCAAATACTTTTTTCCCTCACTGTACCTGTGTGTGTGGGAGGAGGGTGTTTTTGTGTGTGGTGGTTGTGTGGTTGGTGGGAGGGTTTACTGAGGGTGTTGGACAGAGTAGTGAAACTTGTTCCTGGTTTTTGAAAAAAAAGGTCCCTCCTTTCAGGTGCGTTTCACTAAACTAAACTCTAGAGCTGAGAGAACACGCTTCAGAAGTCTTTTACGGGTAAGATATTAGTCCTTTTCATGACAACTATGAGTATTACTGGAATAAGTATAATTAGAGGTTATGTAGATATTGTAAGGGTGACAGTATTCCACCTACATTTGTTCCCTTTCCATGATAATTTTTAACACAAATCTTATTTCCATTTGGTTCTCCCCCGCTAACCATTGGTATGAAGACAATTTATAGATGCATTATTTGGCATATGTGAATCTATTAGTGCAGTTTACATGTGAGACGTCCGTTTGATTTGTATCCGTTTCCCTGCAAATGAAAGTGGAGATGATTTTCTCCAGGTTTCCCCTCTCTAAACTGGTTATTGCACAGTTACTTAGTGATGTAATTAAAGAGCCAGGCTTCCTAATGAGCTGAGCAGAGTGAGCAGCCATTCTGTAATTGTTGAGAATTGCCTTGAAATCTTCCTCACTACACACAGGCTCTCAGGCTTTTCTTACATCTGCCATTCTAAACTGGCTGTTTAATACCTGTGCGTGTCGTGTGTCATGAGGCAAACGGCCAACAGAGAAGATTAAATTACTGTTGAAATGTGAAAATAATGTTCTCTACTGTATTTGATTCTGAGAAAAACCTCTTGACAATGAGCAGGGCATGTTGTAACAAAGAGTTAAGGTTTTCAGAGGGACACTTACAGTAACTGTATTCTACAGTACATTTTTGGACAGAATTGGATCAGATATCAATACAGATCCTCTTGGCATTCCAGGGGGTCAACCCCAAATGTACTGCTACACAGCAGTCTGACTGAAAGGCTTAACCCTGCTAGTCTCTGTATTGTAGAAATAAAGAAGTACATATCAGAACCACTCCAAAATGGCAGAGTCAGCCGAGGCCGTGGTAGCTAACCTGAGCAGCAAGAGGAATGTCACCATTGAGATCACCAATCTCACAAACAACTACTGTCTCATAAACCCAAAGTGAGTACACACTTTACCAAACTATTGTTATTGTCACACTGTACATTCAAGGAAATGTTGAAAGTATCATGTTGTGTGTGTGTTCTCACTAGGGTATTCCTGGAGAGTGGGGATACCTACAACCCTCCCCAGCCCACAGTGCGGCCCCTAAAGACCAATATCTGCACATTCAGCAAATCAAGCGCCAAGGCAACGGGCAGCGTTGGCGTTCTGACCTATGACCTCTTTGAGAGGTCCCGGAACGACTACATCGAGACAGTGGCCCTCATGTTCGCTGTGCCCTGGGACTACAACATCTACAAGAACTGGTTCGCTGTGGGCATCTTCAACAAGGGCCGAGCCTGTGATGAGTCACTGTATAAAGAGATGTACTATGAAAAAAACCAGAAAGGTTTCATTAGAGAGGAAGCCAATGGCTCAGGGATCAACTATGAAGGGAACCACCTGGACATCAAGGTCACCATGTCCCCCATGGGCAGGGCCATCATGAAGGTGGAGGTGTGGGACAAGCTGTTCACTCCCAACCAGCAGGCCTACTAAGGGGAACCTCCAGCCTCCACCCTCTTCACCAGCACTACAGTATACCTCTGTTGTGTTGTACCTCTGTGCCAAAACCAATCCATCCACCATTAGATATTACTACCCTGCTATACTGCTACTGTCTGTCTGTATGCATGATTTAACCCATGTTTTGTTGCTGAAATGTCTGAATTTCAAGACATTACCTTTCAGTAAATCTGCTTAAGATCACAGTTTAGTTTGTTTATGAATCCAGGCAGAAGCGATATCTTCTATTTTCTGTAGAAGTCACTGTTCTCTTCATCTCTCAGTACCATCCTCTTTCAACTGGCATCTTCTCTAGAAATGTAAATCAAAATGACTCACCAGAGGACGAGGGTGCATAGCTTACTTAACAACATATAGCCAGGAGCTGTCTCTGTCTGTATCTACTTATGGCAATAATAGTCTATGGAATAAATGTTGTTGTTTTGCTAAAGCTATTTGTGTATGATGAGTTTCTCTCTATTGATTGAGCCAGGAAAAATTATGCAACATTGTCCCTGAAGGAAAATTATACAGGCTTTTAATGGATACAGTATGTAAGGCCAAAATACATTTTTCATCAAAAAATTTTTCCTATATATTTTTTATGCTTCAAGGGGTCTTAAAATTCCAAATCAAATAGCTAAATGATCCTTGGTATGACCTTCTCAAAACAATTCAATATACTGTAGCTTAGTAGACCCCCTTGGCTTAGACAGGGCTTAGTCTGTAGAGGGTACCTGTGATCACCTAAACTATAGTGTATCTGTAACAAGATGCGTGATTCACAGGGTTGTAGTGAGTCAATGGCCATGGCTGGTGCACCCTATTCCACCACACTGTGTTTTCCTAAAATGTCACAGTTTGCATTATACTCACCCTTGATAAGCACAACCATGTCAATATTAAACTTCTATTGAAAGCAAATGTAGCATTTCAAAGTCTCTTCAGAGGAACTGTAAGGCTGTGCCTGTCATCGCACAGAGAGCTTCAAGGGCCTGACGGAGGAGATGACAGCCAGTGAATAGGAAGTCTCTTCCCCACTAACAGCTATCATTCACTAAATACCAACACAGAGAAGAAACCATTATCACTTCTACTTACAGTCTAATTCTATTTCCCTAGCCCTATAGGCAGAGGCATGGGTATTTCTTGAAATGCTATCAGACGATCAACAATACTGCACCAGCCCCACAATGGGAGTGACTTACACACACACATAGAGTACACACTTATTATGGTAATAGTACTGCTACGATTATAATGATGCAATGTGAAAATAAGGGTACTGCTAAGAGAGAAAACTGCATAAGCTCTTAAATCACATCCCAGGCAGAAGTTATTGCGTTTCTAACAGCAATTCCATTTACAATTCCAACTCTGTTTCGCCCGCGCAGTAGATTAATTATGCTTTAGCTGCATTAACTGGTTACTGCCACACAAAAAGGCCCTGATCGAAGGTTTCTCTTGCCGCTGTAGCATTTACATAGTATAGAAGCATAAATTAGCTCTATTTAGGCTCAATCTCAGAAGCATTGTTGAGGGGTGCATTGAAACAGCGACAGGCACAGCCGCCTATAACAGATGGGGCCACTCGGCGCGCTAAGCAGGGATTTTTGTCTGTTACATCTTTGAAAGAGGATCAACTCCCTCACTCTTTTCACACTCTCCCTCTTTCAATCTCCCCCGTGTATTCACTCATACACCTGCATATACATGCTTTCATGTATTGTGTTGTATGTGATTGTGTTTTGTGTGGGTGCGTGCGTACGTGCCTGCATTTGTGTGTGTGTGTGTGCATGCGTGCGTGAATGGACTCATAGAATAGTAAGCTTGGCATTTAGTATATTTCCTCAAAAACAGCCAAAGCACAACAACATATACAAAGCCATATATGTACTTGAACTGTTTTATTTGAAGAGAATCAGTTGATTAGAGCTGAACATTCTCCTGTATCTGGTGTTAAACAGTGTTGTGATAAGAGTCTGTGCAAGACTCCGCCACCTCTTCTGTGGTTGTAGAGGAGGTGGAGCTCACAACCTCTCCATCCACCAGCTCCTCTATTACTGTCACTTTAACGAGCTGGAACTGAAATGAGAGAGAGAGAGAGAGAGAGAGAGAGAGAGAGAGAGAGAGAGAGAGAGAGAGAGAGAGAGAGAGAGAGAATTGTGGTCCTCTGACAGACACCAGACATTTGATGAGACAGTGTCAACTACAAATGTAATATGCTGTTAATTTCTATTTGCTGTTCACACCTGTGTGTACTTCATATCATTCTTATTAATCTGGGTAATAAAAGTGTGTTGATTCAATATGGGAGTTCCCAAACAGAATGATCAAAAGAGATCAAATTCGAGTTTGGTCACACCGAGTTTGGTTAGGCTTACTCCTGTGTTGGTTACTGCATACCTACAGAAACAAAAGAACACAATCAGAAGTGATTCAAGTGAATAATACTGACAAAATAATGCACCTTCATCTGCTAAAACATTCACTGGTCTGAACTAATGTTACCAATTTGTTGTGTTATCCTAGTGCTCTGTCTTTATCTGCTTTCAAAGACTGCCACCTAGAGGCTGCCCAAGGGAATGACTCACACTGTTCTACAACAGAACATATTCACACATTAGGGAGCATTTATCTAACTAATACTGGGCACAATATATAGAGGTACATCTAACATGATGGTTAGCTGCCATTGAACAAAAGGAGAAAAGTTCAGAAAAATCCCAAATGTCAGCACAATGAACCAAAATCTCATGATAACATATTTCAAAGGACACAATATCCTCAAGACAGCCTTCATCAGAGAGGAGGAGGACTGATGTCATACTGAGAGTCAAAGGGTCAGAGTTGAGAGGTCAGCTCACCCAATGTCTCCTCCCTTCAGCAGCCTGTGGTCTTGATGTCCAGCAGGGCCTGGTACTCCTGGGAGCTGCGCTCTGTGTCTGCCCTGATCTGGGTCAGCTGGCTCTCCAGACCTGTCACTGACGCCTGCAGGCTCATCATCATAGCTCCGTAGCAAGCCTCCATCTCCGCAAGGTTCCCCTCCATAGAGCCTTCTACAAGGGTAGGGCCACAGACACACAGTGAGAACTGAGCTGAACTTATTTTTGGTTAAGTCTGACTTGGACACTTTGTTTCTGGAGGTCATTTTCCATTTTTATTTTCCAAATAAATGTATGTTCAATCCCTACAGCAGATAAGTAAGGAGCAAGGGTTGTGATGTCTTTAGCTTAAGTGATCCTTGGAACTGTAAAAATAATTTGTGGCTTGTCACATTGGATAGTTTTTTGGGGGGGACGAAACGTAAAAGTTTTGAAACTCTTTAGGCCTATTTGTTCTGAGTAACATGATGCATGTTGTAATAGTAAATCATAGGGTCCAAACTGAGAGTCTTATAATGTGATAGGTAAATGAGAAACTAAAGTGCTTCTATCCAAGAAGTTCTAAGTCTGCCGTGCTGGGTGTGCCACTTTACCATGGAGTGGGGAGACTGCAGCTCCAGTCCCAGGCCTCTGGCGGTGGACTGGGGAGACTGCAGCTCCAGTCCCAGGTCTCTGGCGGTGGACTGGGGAGACTGCAGCTCCAGTCCCAGGTCTCTGGCGGTGGACTGGGGAGACTGCAGCTCCAGTCCCAGGTCTCTGGCGGTGGACTGGGGAGACTGCAGCTCCAGTCCCAGGTCTCTGGCGGTGGACTGGGGAGACTGCAGCTCCAGTCCCAGGTCTCTGGCGGTGGACTGGCCGCTCTTCAGCTCTACACTGGTGGTCTGCACCACTTTAGCCTGAGGGGACCAACACACACAGGTCAAAATAATTAACTCATTAATAAATATTTAATCAGTATAAGACATATATAAAATATATTATATGAAAACATAATAATCAATAGTAAAGAAAAAAATGAAAGCCCACAGAAGTATTTATTATTGAGCATCAATACTGTTATTTCTTGAATAGAGAAAATAATCTTGAAATGTTATGTATTCAGGTCCCTGTAGTCATACACTATTATTGCGTCCCAAATGGCACCCTATTCCCTACATAGTGCACTACTTTTTACCAGAGCTTTATGGGCCCTGGTCAAAAGTAGTGCACCATATAGAAATAGGGTGCAATTTGGGACATCATCTATGTCTGTGTGTTTGTCCCCTTCCCTTGTTCTTGAACCAGGCCTCGGTCTCTCTACGTCTCTTTGCCACCATGCCCTCGTACTGCTCTCTGATCTCAGTGATGACAGCATTCAAGTCCTGGGCCGGGGCGGCGTCCACCTCCACCTGCACCTGACCACTCATCGGGGCACTGAACGATATGGTCTCCTAGGAAACAACATCAACAACAACGTTACAGTAGTATCAGCATTTTGATTGGTCCAAAATGGCACTCTTTTCCTTAAAGTACACTACTTTCGACTAGAGCCCTGGGCTGTTTTGATGGGCCCTGGTCAAAAGTAGTGCACTATATAGGGAATAGGGTAGCATTTCAGATGCAGACTTGGTCTAATATCAGTGTTATCCATGCTGTGCACTACTACTAGCCTGGTCCCAGATCTCTCTGTGCTGTATTGCCAACTCCTATGGTCATTGTCATGTCATGTGGCGTGACAATGACTGTAGGAGTTGGCAAGACAGCACAGACAGATCTGGGACCAGGCTACCCTACTACGAGACCCACCTCCTTATGGTTCTTCTTGAGGTAAACCACCTCATCCTTCAGGTCCTCCAGCTGCATCTCCAGGTCGCTGCTGGCCAGGAACATCTCCCCCAGCATCCTCTTCAGCCCCCCGATGTCTGCCTCCACAGACTGGCGCAGGCCAAACTCACTCTCAAACCATGTGGTTGACACTTAGTTTGGACTCCAGTTGATCAAGTATATACTATAAATATCTCTACGATATCTGACATTTCAGCAATTGTAATGCAATGGAATAATATTGTTTTATTCATTCATGAAATATTCAGATCAATCTTGGAAAAAAAAGGGTAACTAATTGCTAACAGCTTATATGTTAGACTCACTTTATTCTGAAGTCATCTGCAGCCAGTTTGATGTTATTCACCTGTAGGGCCAACTCAGCCGCTACAGTGGTGGTTGCCAAGAACTTCACACAGAGAAAAGTATCAGGTTTCTGGTTATATTATCTCACACCACTGGAGACGCCTTTCAATTGCATCATTAAATAGTTTGGCATTACACCAATGTTATTTTGCATATGTCACAATATGTAATGCATCAGTGCTCAGTAAATGCATTGTAAAGGTCTTGGCTGGCAGCTGTTATAACCTGGGAGTTTAATGAATAAAGGCAACCAGCACTCAAAAATTATATTAATGCCATGTACAGTAATACCACAAAATCGATCAGTATTTGTGAGTTTTATCCATCTTCATTTATGCATGTTTTGTCCATCATAGTAAACCAACAAGGAACATACCTTGGAGCGGAGCTCATCGATGGCCACCTGGTGGGTGCTGATGTCCCTGGTGTCGACCTTGACGTGGCTGAGCCCCCACTCCCTGAACTGCAGCTCCGGCTTGATGTTGGCCTCCTCCAGGGTGGCAACCTTCTCCAGGTACGTACCCAGGCACGTGTTCAGGTTCTGCATGGTGGCTTTTCACTGACTGTGATGGACGCTCCTCTGCCTCCCCCGGCCCCACCATCCATGGAGAAGCCACCGAAGCTCATCCCTCCACCACCTCAAGAGCCAAAGCCCCCACCCATGGAGCTGAATCGGCCCCCACCAGCGGAGAAGGAGGCTGTAATGGAGGAGATGCGAATGCCCTTACCCCCGGTCCCTGTGTACACACTTCCAGACCTCCCGGAAATCATGGACATGCCCATGTCAGAGCGTGAGGAGTTGAAGCTCCCCATGGAGGCTCCTGAGCTTAGCCCGACTCCAATGCTAGAGAAGCTGCTTCTGCGAATGGAGAATGTGGCCATGATGACTTATATCAGGACATCAATCTGACAAGGAAACACTGTTATTAATGGTCATGTGGAATGTGCTGACTGGGGTCTGCCTTGAGCCATCTCTGTATTTTCATGTTCACGATCACACGGTCTCTCTCTCTCTCTCTCTCTCTCTCTCTCTCTCTCTCTCTCTCTCTCTCTCTCTCTCTCTCTCTCTCTCTCTCTCTCTCATACACTCTGACCCTGCTGGGAATATCTTTGTTTTTCCAGAGTCCATGTAAAAGGGCTATGAAGTAAAAACAAATCTGTTTCCCTTTGGTTACTATGTGTTCTGCTAACTTGTCATATTGGGGATGAGTAAGATCTCTCTTTCTCTCTGGCTTTCCTCTGCTCTTCCTTGTTGCAAGGCCAATACACTACATTACACAATTACTAATTAGTGGCATGTGTAGGCTATTTACTGAATTACATTTAAACATTGACACACACACACAGTTGAAGTCGGAAGTTTACATACACCTTAGCCAAATACATTTAAACTCAGTTTTTCACAATTCCTGACATTTAATCCTAGTAAAAATTCCCTGTCTTAGGTCAGTTAGGATCACCACTTTATTTTAAGAATGTGAAATGTCAGAATAATAGTAGAGAGAATGATTTATTTCAGCTTTTATTTATTTCATCACATTCCCAGTGGGTCAGAAGTTTACATAGACTCAATTAGTATTTGGTAGCATTGCCTTTAAATTGTTTAACTTGGGTAAAATGTTTTGGGTAGCCTTCCACAAGCTTCCCTACAATAAGTTGGGGGAATTTTGGCCCATTCCTCCTGACAGAGCTGGTGTAACTGAGTCAGGTTTGTAGGCCTCCTTGCTCAGACACGCTTTTTCAGTTCTGCCCACAGATTTTCTATAGGATTGAGGTCAGGGCTTTTTGATGGCCACTCCAATACCTTGACTTTGTTGTCCTTAAGCCATTTTGCCACAACTTTGGAAGTATGCTTGGGGTCATTGTCCTTTTGGAAGACCCATTTGCGACCAAGCTTTAACTTCCTGACTGATGTCTTGAGATGTTGCTTCAATATATCCACATAATTTTCCTTCCTCATGATGCCATCTATTTTGTGAAGTGCACAAGTCCCTCCTGCAGCAAAGCACCCCCACAGCATGATGCTGCCACCCCGTGCTTCACGGTTGGGATGGTGTTCTTCGGCTTGCAAGCCACCCCTTTTTCCTCCAAACATAACGATGGTCATTATGGCCAAACAGGTCTATTTTTGTTTCATCAGACCTGAGGACATTTATCCAAAAAGTATGATCTTTGTCCCCATGTGCAGTTGCAAACCGTAGTCTGGCTTTTTTATGGCGGTTTTGGAGCAGTGGCTTCTTCCTTGCTGAGCGGCCTTTCAGGTTATGTCGATATAGGACTCGTTTTACTGTGGATATAGATACTTTTGTACCGGTTTCCTCCAGCATCTTCACAAGGTCCTTTGCTGTTGTTCTGGGATTGATTTGCACTTTCAGCACCAAAGTACATTCATCTCTGGGAGACAGAACGTGTCTCCTTCCTGAGCAGTATGGCGGCTGCGTGGACCCATTGTCACGATCGTCGGATATAGAGGACCAAGGCGCAGCGTGGAAGGTGAACATACTTATTTATTAAATGATACACGAGCAAAACAACAAATCGATACGTGACGTCCACAGGTGCAAACCACAAACCAACACGGAACAAGATCCCACAAACACTGTGGGAAAACCACCTGACTAAATATGGTTCCCAATCAGAGACAACCAGCAACAGCTGATACTCGTTGCCTCTGATTGAGAACCACTCTGGCCAACATAGATATACAAAAACTAGACTAGACACAACGAGCACAAAACATAAACTCTACACACCCTGGCTCAACTTAAAAGAGTCCCTAGAGCCAGGGCGTGACAGTACCCCCCCCTAAAGGCGCGGACTGCGACCGCGCCTAAACATCACCGAACAGGAGAGGGCTGGGTGGGCATTCCTCCTCGGAGGCGGTTCCGGCTCCGGGCTTGACCACCACCCTCTACTACCCCCCCCCCCCCCCCCCGTAGTGCCCCTGGTCTGGTCTAGCCCCACTGGCTGGAGCTGGACTGGACTTCGGTGGAGCGGATTGCTCAGGCTCCGGTGTGGAGCAGCTGACCGGTACCTGACCAGGCACCGGTGAAACGGGCACGGGCTGGCGATGTGCACCACAGGTTTGGTGCGGGGAGCAGGAACAGGCCGAACCAGGCTGGCGACGCGCACCACTAACTTGGTGCGGGGAGCAGGAACAGGCCGGACCGGGCTGGCGATGCGCACCACAGGTTTGGTGCGGGGAGCAGGAACGGGCTGGGCCGGGCTGGCGACGCGCACCATTGGCTTGGTGCGGGGAGCAGGAACAGGCCGGGCCGGGCTGGCGACACGCACCATAGGCTTGGTGCGAGGGGCAGGAACAGGCCGGGCCGGGCTGGCGACGCGCACCATATGCTTGGCGCGATGGACAGGAACAGGCCGGACCGTACTGGGAACACACACCACTGGCCTTACACGGGGATCAGGAACGGGCCGGACCGGACTGGCAACACACTTCACTACCTCTCGCCGTGCCTCTACATTTTCCTTCCCTCTATACACCAATGGCTCCCGTAACCCGGTGGCCTTCTCTCCTCGTCCACCAACTCGCCCCTTATCTGCCTCCAGTGGCCCCGTCGTCCCTTCCATGTGCCCCCCCCCTAAAAATTTATTGGGGGTGCCCCTCGCCTGTCCGACGACTGCCCGGTTGGCGCCACTTCTCCTCTCCTGCCTGGGCACGCTGCTTGGTCCTGTATTGGTGGGATCTTCTGTCACGATCGTCGGATATAGAGGACCAAGGCGCAGCGTGGAAGGTGAACGTACTTATTTATTAAATGATACACGAACAAAACAACAAATCGATACGTGACGTCCACAGGTGCAAACCACAAACCAACACGGAACAAGATCCCACAAACACTGTGGGAAAACCACCTGACTAAATATGGTTCCCAATCAGAGACAACCAGCAACAGCTGATACTCGTTGCCTCTGATTGAGAACCACTCTGGCCAACATAGATATGCAAAAACTAGACTAGACACAACGAGCACAAAACATAAACTCTACACACCCTGGCTCAACTTAAAAGATTCCCTAGAGCCAGGGCGTGACACCCATGGTGTTTATACAGATGAACGTGGTACCTTCAGGCGTTTGGAAATTGCTCCCAAGGACGAACCAGACTTGTGGAGGTCTACAATTCTTTTTCTAAGGTCTTGGCTGATTTCTTTTGATTTTCCCATGATGTCAAGCAAAGAGACACTGAGTTTGAAGGTATGCCTTGAAATACATAATTTCACATTTACATTTAGTCATTTAGCAGACACTCTTATCCAGAGCGACTTACATGAGCAATTAGGGTTAAGTGCCTTGCTCAAGGGCACATCGGCAGATTTTTCACCTAGTCAGCTCGGGGATTAGAACCAGCTACCTTTCAGTTACTGGCACAACACTCTTAACCACTAAGCTACCTGCCGCCCTACATCCACAGGTACACCTCCAATTGACTCAAATGCCTATCAGAAGCTTCTAAAGCCATGACATCATTTTCTGGAATTTTCCAAGCTGTTTAAAGGCACAGTCAACTTAGTGTATGTAAACTTCTGACCCACTGGAATTGTGAAACAGTGAATTATAAGTGAAATAATCTGTCTGTAAACAATTGTTGGACAAATGAATTGTGTCATGCACAAAGTAGATGTCCTAAATGACTTGCCAAAACTATAGTTTGTTAACAAGACATTTGTGGAGTGGTTGAAAAACGAGTTTTAATGACTCCAACCTAAGTGTATGTAAACTTCGGACTTCAACTGTATCTGCATGTAACTAAGCAAAAAGGTTATATTCAATAGTTTGCTATGTATTTCCATAGCTCTCTCATCCTCACATTGGCTAAATGATGAACGCCAGCACTCTGTCTGGGACTGATCATCTGACAGCAAAACAGACAGGAGATCAATACAAACCACTGCCCATCCCATCTCTGTTCTGTGCATCGACTTTTCCTTCTCTTAAGCCCCCAACACAACCCACCATCTGGGCACCACTGGTTGAATCAATGTTGTTTCCATGTAATTTCAATGAAATTACGTGGAACCAACATGGAATAGACATTGAATTGACGTCTGTGCCCAGTGGGCATGCCACTCAGTCCTCTTTGTCAGCCAGTCAACCCATCTGCAGGATGTCCTCTAGCCCTTTCACTCACAAACATGCCACCCCTCCTCTCACCCCTTCCTCCAACTCTTGTATGTCCAGACGTGCAAACAAGAATGATAGGGTCATAGGCCAACACTACTCAGTGGAAGCTGCTGAGGGGAGGACGGCTCATAATAATGGCTGGAATGGAGTCAACGTAATGGTATCAACCACATGGAAACCACATCGTTGATGTGTTTGATGCCATTCCATTGACTCCATTCTAGCCATATTTATGAGCCGTCCTCCCCTCAGCAGTCTCCACTGACACTACTGTACACTGCAAACTACAGTAACTGCACATTTGGTCAAAATTGAGTTAAGACCGAAATCAGGCTTTGTAGCATCTGTTTTATCTTGTGACAAATTGTCCTGGTTCAATTATCTTCAGTTTCAGAGAAAATAAGAGTGTGAAATTTCCAGTAACTACAAAATCCAAGTAAAAACCAAGGTAAACAGCAGTAACTTAAGTTACTAAGTGAAGTTACTGCACTCTGGCTTTGTTCCACCGTGTTTTGACTGCAGTTAATGCGGTTTGCCTTGGTATTCTATCAGGCTGCGAGTTCAGGCCATCCCGATCATGACACACACACACGCCATGAGACAGCCAGTGATCCAGTTATCACCAGAATAAACAGGGTACAATCCCACAGACAAATTATGGTTGAACTCGCATTGAAATGCAAATACCCAGATAATGTTTACATCGTTCGTGATCTTGTACCTACCTATTTGGTCACAGA